TGACTGAAATTGTAGATGTCGTAAAGAATATAAATATCCTTTCGACTTAATGCCACCGTAATTTCGCTCGCTATTGAAAGTGGTAAATCTCGCAAAAGATCAATTGGAACGGCATTCGATTTGGTGATCATAAGCCAAAAGAAAGATTCGTTGTAGGGTAATTGATTTTCATTGAACTGTTTAAAAAAAGAAAAAATAAATAAATAAATAAATAAATAAATAATTAAATGAGTAAATGAAAATAATTTAATCATTTCTTATGCGCAATATATGAAAAAGACATTACCGACCTGTTCGAGAATAATTTCACTCTGCGGACAATCGATATCAAGGATAATACCAAGTTTATAATAATTTACTTTCAATATGGTATTCATTTCTATGTTTTCCTTAATAGGCACGTAGGAAATTGTTAAATTGTTCAATAGATCTCTACGAAAGAAATCCATTTTTTCTAAATAAAGAAACAATATCTATAAGACAGACATTTTTGAATTAACAGTATCTATAATTGCGAAATATATTATGAATGAAAAAAAAAAAAGAAGAAGAAGAAAAAAGAGGAAGGAACAAAAAAATAAGAGACAAGAAAAAGAAGAGAAATAAAAAGAAGTGGAAATTAACCGAAAGAGTTCCAACATCCAAATACGACCAAGTACTGTATATATTTCCCAGAAAAATATTCTTTCGTAAAGGAAACCGCAATATTATTAGCCTTCGTCGTCCATGTGAATGCAATTATGCTAATTGTGATAACTCCAAAGATCATATTTCCGTGTTTTTTCGTCTTTTTTTTTTTTTCTTAATCATCAAAGTTATTACAAGTTTCGTAGATCTTTAATCTCACGATTTATCTGTACACCTGTCGCAAAAAAAAAAAAAAAAAAAAAAAAATAAAAACCACGAATGATTTTTATCATTAAATTGTCATAAAATGTTTTTTTTTTTTTAATTTCGTATAAAATTTCGTCGTTCACTTAACTGCTATGAGAAAAATCAATTTTTAGATTCGATCGCACGAGACGAAACAATTAACGGCACAAAACTTTTCAATAATTTATCGAAATCGTTCACACTTCTCACATTAATATGTAATATAGCTAACGAAACGAATAAAAATGAAAAAGTACTTCATCGGTTTTTGATTATCTCACTGTCTGTCAGTACGACTATGAAATCCTTCTATTCCGCATTCGACGGAAGTTGACATTATCTTATTGTTAGATATATGTAATATTGCAAGAGTATCTATTGATTGACAAACGATTTTCGTAAAAAAATGCATAGCTAATAATTTTCCTATAGAGAAAATTATCGAGGTCGATGTTACGTTGAAGTTATAATATGAAATTAAGTTATATATTCCGTTGCGTTCCATACGATAATTCCTGATACATCATTTCCAAGAATTTCACATAAATAATTAATAGTGCAAAGGTTATCGATTGTAACTTATACGTAAAATGCACTATCATTACATCGAGGAAAACACTCACTAATAATATCTCTATGTATTTACTGCATGTTCTCTCTCTCTCTCTCTCTCTTGGTATAAAAAAGTTAAAAAAGAATTATTTTTATTTGATCGTAAAAAGAAAAGAAAATTGCTATTTACTGATAATTTATCTTTAAGTTACAAAAATATAAGTTTGACATTTGATCGACCATCTTGTAGATATTTAACTAATCTAACTGGATATAAATATTGGTTTACAGAAAATCATTATGCAATTATTTTTGATTACACATGTAATATGTAACAACGAGATATAATCAGTCAAATTACTAGTAAATAAGAAACATGAAATGAGATTTCCATCTGATATGCAAACATATAATTTTATTTTAAAAGTACAATGTCTCTTTGTATCTCTTTTTCCTCAAATATTGGAAAAAGAGATTCTAGCAAAAAAAAAAAAAAAAAAAAAAAAAAAGAAAAAAAAAGTGAGAAAAAAAACGAAAAGAGATAAAAATAAAGATGAGAGAAGTTATTAGTGAACCTCTTTAAAAAAAAAAAAAAAAGAAAAAAGAAAAAGAAAAAACAATTTATTTAAACAATTGTAATACTTACTCCGATCTCGAATTTTATTTAATTCACTGATACAAATTACAAGGATTAAAATAATTTATGACTTTAAGCTCATTGATTGTTGAGATATAAAATTGATAAGAGAAAAATGTATAACATCAAACTCGTTTTAAAGATATAATTGATGATTCAAAAAAATTTCCATATCGAAATATACTAGCGGTTTTAAACGACGAAAAGCAAAACTAGATAGGTCAAAAACAATTCTATAAATAATACATGAATAATGAATATCTTATTGCAAATTTAAATTTGTGACTTTATAGAAGTAACAGAATAATATTTGTAAAAAAAATGACGTCCAAATTAATTATGATTTTATAAACATGAATTATATATGCAAATGCAATTTTCTTTTTTTTTTTTTCTTTATAGAATAGAATGGATAATATATTAATATGTAAATCTTGCATGAAACGTGTTAATTATCGTTTATAAATTATTTCATATCGATTTTATTTCTTTAATCATTGTTATCTGAATTTGAATATACTAAAAGGGGAGAAAGTTTTTAAAACATGCTCATTAATTGTACAAATTTTGAATTGTATATTTAAAGCGTGACGCATTTTATGAAAAAAATTTTTTTATACTATGAAACGAACACTCTAATAATAAAATCAACATTGAAATAATCGGATTTGTTATTTATTTTATAAAAGCAGGAAAAATGTCTTATAAACAAATATTATTCATTTCATCGCAAATTTCTACAACCTGCAAAATACTATCATTTTTATTATGTAATACTACAACTGCATATAAAAATTCAATAATATGAATAATTCATTAATTATTTTAATCGTATTGAAGGAGTCGACAAAAATATTTTATTAAAATTTCTTTTTTCTTTTCTCCTTTTTTTTTTTTTTTTACAAAAGATAAAAATGAAGCTTACAAGTATGTGCCATAAATTTTGTTTAACCTTTAAAACATCCATAACACTTAATTAATTTTTTTAAGCTCTTGAAATAATTATACGTTAGACATTGTAAGAAAAAAAGCAATGTACAAACAACGACACATATAATTGTGAGAAAACGCTAGTTACTAGCATGTTATTTTTACGTAAGCAAAAGTGACAGGAAGGTACATCTATAAATTAGTGAGATTCATAAGGCAGACATATGTGAAAAATCTTAATCAGTTTCAGATCATTTTCTGTCGAGAAACATTGAAATGATGAAGTTACTCCAATATGTCTCGTTGGTTTCATTGTTGGTGATATTCGCTTTTGTCAAAGCAGACGACGAATTATATTCCGACAAGTACGATTACATAGATCCCAAGGAAATCGTCGTCAATGATCGTTTAAGGGATGAGTATTATAATTGTTTCATGGACATCAGCCCTTGTGTTACCCCGGATGCGATATTCTTCAAATGTAAGCTTGATTATTTCGAAATTCTCTCTCTCTCTCTCCTTCTCTCTCTCTCTCTCTCCTTTCTCTCTCTTTCTCTCTCAAATTTGACGATTTAATTTTCCAATACATGAAAGTTAAAAATTTTTCTCATTTTTGTTTTCCTTTTCGTTTTTTCAATCATCTTTTTTTTCCTTCCTTTACAATATACAGAGATAATATTTATTGATCGTACTATTGTCACAAATAATCTTACATAAAAAATTTTAAATAGAAAATGATTGTTTCTCTTCGTTAACTTTTATAACGTAGAACGTATTTATATTTCGTTACGAAGACTTGAACAATTTTATCTTATGAAAGGTATAATAAAGGGAGAAAATTATTTTCTTAGAAAATGAAAGAATAGAAAATAATTCTTTGCATTAATGTATTAAATCACTTTTTTCTTTTTCTTGTACGATAATTTTATAGATCGATTATTTTATTAATGATATCTTTCTTATGTACGTATATAAATTATATACAATATTAATTATATTCGCATTATGTTTTCAGCAAATTTACCGGAGGCAATAATAACTAAATGCAAGAAGTGTACAGAAAAACAAAAGGAAAACTTTGAATATATAGCTGTCTGGTATAACGATAATCGTCCAGATGAATGGAATGCTCTCGTTAAGAAGTTCATGGAAGATGCAAAGAAAATGAACATAGCAAATTCCAAATAGTATAGGTACCGACGTCATTTTTACGAATCAATTATGAAAAGGATAAAACGAATGGTGTTATTTTTCTTTTTCTTTTCGATGCGAAACAAAAATTTAATTAATACATTTAAATCAATTAATGAGCAATACGAACGGGAAAATATATTAAAATAACTGGAATGAAAATAAAATAAATGTAAAAAAATTAATAAAACTTTATTCGTTAACATAAAGATATTCCTATTGTTATATTGATAAAACATCATTTTATATATTTCTTTAGAAAAATAATTAAATTTTAAGAAAATAATAATAATAAATAATAATACTATCTCATTGTTAAATATTCACAAAGATTGAAATAATTGGTTAACGATATAGAAAAGAGGATTTGATGAATTTACAGGAAGAGAGAGGTGGTGGGCTTGGGGAGGGTGGAAGGGGGAGGATAAGGAAAGAAGAAGAAAAATGAGGAAGATAAAAGAAGAGAAAAGAAAAAAAAAATAAAAAGAAAGAAAAGAAAAGAAAAGAAAAAAGAAAGAAAGAAAAGAAATGAACGTTATCAAAATATTAATCGAAAATATTAAAATTTAAATAATTAAATATATAATGAACTTTGTAAACAAGCTCAATTCAAATAAACGACGTTATAGCCTTGTAATAACATCGATTGAGAATCATCATTCATTTCTCAAGATTTTTCTTATTTGCCCCTTCCAACATTCGTTTCTTTCACGTATGTCCTTCGAAAAATATCAGCCAATAATCGGATGATCTTGGACCGAAGATAGTCATAAAATCAACATACACGTATACGCTAGAGGTATAAATACGGAAGACAGAACTCTTGAAGCATTCAGATTCAATTCAGATATTCATTGTGGATGCTGTACTAAAAACGTTAAAGTACGATAATATATTTTTCTCCGTCGGCTACTTCAGTACAAATTTTGAAGTTAAATTATCGTTAAATTTAAAAATAAGAATTTAACAAAAAAAATCATAATGGCGCATTATTTATGGATATTATCAATCGTTGTACTATCCGGAATGATTTTCTCAGTGTTCGCGGATAACACCGATGATACCAAATACATAACGAAATATGACAATATCAACGTAGACGAAATATTGAATACACCTCGATTACGTAATCAATATATCGATTGTTACGTAGGACGTTCACCGTGTGTAACACCAGAAGCAAAGTTCTTGAAAGGTAAGGGACAACGACATAAAAAATCAAAAGATAATATTTCTCAAGCTTTAATCCTCCATTAGATTTATCTTTATTTTTAAACATTTCGTTTGTGTTTTGACGAGGAAAAGTGAAAAATAAAAAAAAAAAGAAAATAAAAGAAAATAAAAAAAAATAAAAGGAAAAAAAAAAAGGAAAACAATGAATCATAAATAGTCAGTATGAATGAATAATATTCTTTGTCGTAGAAATACTGCCGGAGGTTTTAGTGACCAAATGTAAAAAATGTTCAGATAAGCAAAGAGTAATTTTCGACAAGGTGATAACTTGGTTTGAGGAAAACGATAAGGAAACTTGGAAGGTCATATTGGCGAAATCTATTAATGAGCATGTAAATGTCAGAAATCGAAGATCGTAGATTAAGTTCATTGGTAATCTAAAAGAAAAAAGAAAATGTGACTATATTGTTTAATAGGTTGTTATATAAAATTTTCACAGATCTGTGTATACAAAAGAAAGAAAAAAAACAAAAAAAAAAAAAAATGTTAACTCTATACTATGTTTTGACGTGAAATAAATTGCAAATTAAAGCAAAATTAATAAAATGTTTATTATTGAAATTAAACGTTACATGTGTTACATTACGTTTCATATTTATGAATAACATTTACATACTTGTATGTATTATGTATATACTATATATATATATATTATATATATATATGTATGTTTATTATATATATTATATATTATATATTATGTATTATGTATATATATATATATATATACAGGAAAATATTAATTCTTAAGATATGCTTCAAACTTATCGAAATATATATTCTCAGGATCGTATTTCGTTTGGAACTGATTCCATACATCTGGCTTTTTTTCCTTCAGTTGCCAAAGCTTGTTTCCTATTTTCTTCTGGTAGTCGTTACATCTCGCGCATTGTGTGGCCAATATTTCAGGAAGTATTTCTGCAATACAAATTAAAAACGATTATTTTATTAAATGTCAATTTTTTTTGTTTGTTTTTATTCTTCGTACGTATGTAATTACGTACTAAAAGAAATGAATTAACGAATTAAAATATAAAAGAAAAAAATGCGAAAGAAAATAAACATTAAAATCCTGTTAAGATTATAGATCAAGGACAAAGATTATGGAAGGAGCAAACCTGTTTTAATGAAGACCATAAAAGGTTGTTTCAAAAGTTTTTTATATATGAAAAATAAGAAACTTTATTATTATTATTATTATTATTATTATTATTATTATTACTATTATTATTATTATTATGACTTTCTATCTTTCTTTTTTTTTCTCTTTCTTTTTTTAATAAAAAGGAAAAAAGAATTACTTACGTTTAAGACTACGTCCATCGGCGGTGCAAGGACCCTCATCGAGCAAACAATTTATATATTGATTTAAAAATCGTTCGCTATTAAAAATCACATCTATGTCCACTTGATCGTATATATTTGGATAGTATTCTTCATTATATCCAACGATGAGCCCGCATACTCCGATTATTAAAAAATAGACGTAAGTGAATTTCATGCTTATATAATTATTCGAGCCAATTATTCGTATTGCACTGGAAAATTTTAATGTATAGTTAAATAAAAAAAAAAAAAAGGATTTCAACTCCGTATTATCCTAATTAATTACACTGAGATACGTCGAGAACAATTGTGTCAGAAAAGAAACGAAATGAATTGAATTTAAAATCGATTCAATTCGATCGATGGAAAATAGAATGGTATGAAAATTTGAGTTAAATATTTAATATATAAAGTTGTATAATAATTACTATAATAATCAATGATGTCACGATGATTCAGCCGTGAATCAATGAAACAAGTATTAAAATAGAATACTCGTTAAAAGACGCTCGACGGATGCTCGAAACGAAAAAAATAATTAAACTGCCGTTGAGTTGTTTTACTTCTGTGACTTTTAATGAAATACTTTCTACCAATTTCGTGTTATAATATAACTAAGAAATTAATGTTGAAAAAAAGATTCCGATCTTGTAAATACAGCGTATTATAAACACAGCAAGTTTACGAATTTGTAAATAACACTTCGCTCAAGCACTATACATTAAGGTTTTACTTAACAAAATATTTGATTGTACGTGATAGATTTTGAAGTCGAGAATATTCATCTGATATCATATAACATTTCGTATATCATGCGTCGCATTTCGTGTGTCAATCAATAAACACGAGCGCTCATATTTAACGTTCATGTAGATTAATTTTTAATGATATGAAAATTATTTATAAAACAAATGATTCTCATAACATTCGTCATATAAAAAAGGTAAAGCATTATAAAGAATACAATTTTTAAAAATATATCATATTATCGTATTACAAAAAAATTCTTATACAGAAATGTTACGAATAAAAATATAATGTCTAAATAAATGTGTGTGTGTGTGTATGTGTGTATAATAATAATTCTATATATATTATATTTCCAACAAGATTGATTAAATCATAATATATTATATTTACTTGTCACCCCTATATAAAAAAAATTCGATTATTTAATATCCCTTCGCTTTTCTTAATTCAATATATCCTTCAATATATTGATCTTCTATAATTTATAACAAGGCATATTACATTGGTTTCGAAATAAAAAAAAAAACTGCATAAAGAAAAATATATCTCCACAGCCTAATATTTAATCTGTATAAATCAAAACTGTTTACTTCACACAAAATATTTGCAGTATGAATTTAATATTTTATTTATTTTATATATATATATATATATATATATATATATATATATATATAAAATATGAAAGAAAATTCGTTTGGAATTAAAGTATACGTTAATATCCAGTTAATACGAGGATCTTGATTTTGAAGATACCATAATGATGCAATTACAACTGGTCTTCTTGAGAGAAATCCTGCAAATATTACGTATTTTATTGAATTGTTCATCGTATATAAAGATAATAACGTTAAGGCATTGTAATTGTAACGGCATGAGATGCTTCTAAATACTGAAACAAATAATTAAAAAAATGAAAGGACGTGTGATGAAAAATATGTATAGCAAACAATTTTTTTAACATGTTGAACAAAAAAAAATATATATGTATATATATATATATATATATATATATATATATATATATATATATATATAATGCCTGATACGCAAGCAATTTTTTTTTAATTATACATATATATATATATATATATATATATATATATATATATATATATATATATATATATATATATATATGTCTCGATTTTATAAGATATTATTATAGAGAATTTGAATTAACACTAAGTTATATTTCAAATTATAAATACTCGCTAAAATTATTAAAAGACGATGAAGTAATGCTTCTCTACAATAAATGTGTAAAATATTGACAAATACATGATATGAGTTATTTAATGTCTAATGACCTTATCCATGTTACTCATTGAATATATCAAGAGTCTCATTGCGATCTATAACTTCAAAATTTCAAAGAAAATTGTTGTTTTTAAGGTAATATGTAGTTGACGATATTTTTATATATTCACGTGATCCTTGAATAATTATAATGTTTATTACTTGAACCAATTATACTTTTTACAATAAAAACTTTTTTATATATAAACTTTGATATAATAAAAAACATTGTGCAATGTATACATAAATATACTGTGTATCTTTTTTTTTAATATATATATATATAATCTTATGAGAACTACATAGTATATATTTTAATCGTTACGTTAAATAGAAAGGAAAAAAAGAAATAAAATAATTAAATAAAGTAAAGAGTAACAAATATTATGAAAATTAACAATGGTAAAATTTATATATAAAATATTTGAATCGTATGTATAAGATATTTTATATATAAACTATATTAAGTACTTTAAACCCTATAGTAATAAAAGAATATTAAGTAATATATAAAAATATTAGAAAACTATATCACTTTTTAGATATATAAAAATGTTCATAGATATTGCTCATAATAGCAATTTTAACTTTATAACGATTAAACTTTGTATTCAACATATAATAGCGTGCAAATTGTTTAGAAGTGATATGGCATAAATGAATTAAAATCAAAACAACAAATATGTACGTATCTAGCATTGTCAACAATAATGCATATTGTGCGTTAACATATAATAATGAAACGTAATTAAACATGAGCTGTCTTTTGTACCTTCATAGCAGCTTTGAAACCAATAGTAGCAACTACACCTAATCCAAATAATATCAAATGAGGAAGGTATTTTATTCCTGGTATATCAGGTCTCTTTGCCACCAACGATAGCAGCATATTTAATTTTGTATCGCTATAAGGTGGATAACGGGATCTACAAATGACATATGATATATCAATATATTCTTATTAATTAATAAATTATATTATAAAATAGAATTTATTTCTTACCCAGCCAACTTCTCTCCTATAATGTTATAATCTTTAATAAGACATCCCTTTTTATGGACGAAAGTATCGAAAGTATATTTTCCATGATAAGCACCCATGCCCGAACTACCAACTCCTCCAAATGGTAATGTTTCCACTAAAATATATTTATATATATATATATATATATAAATGCACAATAAATATAACAGAAATAACGATAAATAATAATTATCATCAATGGTATTAAATGTTTTGTAACTGTAAATAATAATTATAAATGAAATAAATTAAAGCCATCAATAATATAACCAATATAAAGCATTTCTTAAAACCTCTTAATATCACTATATAAAATGCATAAATATTTTTTATTCCAACAAGCAAAATTAATATTTTCAATCAACTTATTTTTTAACATAATAAAAGAATTTATACACATATACATATATATCTACATATATTTATACATATATATGTACATATATTGTATTTGATATATTCAACATACACAAATATATACATATAATAGAAAACATACATATATATATATATATATATATATATATATATATATATATATATATGACATTAAACAAATACCTGCTGCATGCATCATTGTTTCATTAACACAAACACCACCACTAGAGGTATTATTAAGAATCATAGATATATTTCCTTTATTTCCACTAAATATATACAGTGCTAATGGCTTCTCCCTATATCAAATATATATGATAAAAGAAATTATATTTACACATATAAATTTATCGTTTATCGTTAATATTCGTACAATAAAATTTCAATAAAATAATATAAATATTTAAATATTATTTACCACAAATTTTAAATATATTTTATACTATACATTAAAGCTTTTATCTTTATTATATATTTCTTTTTATATCATGTTTTATTTAACTAAATTAATATTACGGTATCAAAATCATAAAAAAAATAGAGTATATCTAATATTTAAGCATTACATAAATAACTCATATAATCCTTCCATTCATTTAATAATATATGTGTATAATACAAATAGATCTATTATTAATACCCTTCACCATATTTAATTTTATATATCAAACTCGAACGACTATGTACATTACATTCATTAATAAGATCCATGTGTATATTGTCTTCACGTGACAAAGTTTTTCTTTCTATATGTCTACCCATCTATGCTTATCTTACAGCAAAATGTCATTATGTATCAGTAATATGTATATAATGATTACACACAATAGTATGTAAAAATGCAATAAGCCAATGAAAACAAACAAAAATCCAATGATGGCAATTTTTTCGTCATTATAGTTATTTATAAATAATTAAAAATGAAAATGATATTAAAAGATAAATAATTCTTAATTCAAATGGATATTAAAAATTTATCTGGAATCATTAAAAAATAAACTCTGTGATGTAAACTTTAAAGCTTATACACAATATGAGTCTCTTCAGATTTTATTATTAACAAATAACTATAATAACATAAAAATCATCATCATTTTGTTGTATGCTTTTAGAAAAAAAAAGAGAAACTATTAAATTATCACATTTTCATTAGTATACATTGTCGACACACAGTGATATTCTTTGCAGTAGAATATAAACAGATATAAATGTAAGATATAGAAAGAAAACTTCAACCATTTTGAAAAGCCCCTTTGCATAAAAAATTAATGGATATAAATATGTCTCTACTTGCAATTTGACATAATTTTTCTATCTAATTCTATATAATTTTGACATAAATGATAAATATTATATTTTAATATACAAATATAATAATATAAGTGTAAAGTATGATCATGCACTAAGTATGATAAAGTATGACAGCATGCATAAAGTATGATAATACATAGTATGACCAGAATACATTATACAGAAAAATGTGTTAATGAAGAATGCACTTAATCTCTTAGAAACAATGAAAATAAGTTAAGTTCAATGTAATAATCATAATGTAATTGCAAAATCTATAAAGAATTATATGTATATGTACTGGTCAACTATATAATTTCTATAATTCTGTGATTATTTAAAGGATTGATAATTATGAATATGCTCACAAAAAAAAAAAAAAAAAAAAAAAAAAAAAAAAAAAAAAAAAAAAAAAAAAAAAATTAATACATTTT